GGAGGCGGGACGGGACTGGCGCCCCTGAGGGCGGCTGGGGGAGGGGAAGGGATCCCACGCCCAAAGGGGGAAATTGGGGAACCACTGGGAGGGCAGAGGATCAAAACGGAGCATGGCCAGGTTTCCCCTACCCACTGGGGCCCCAGGAACCTGCTGAGATCTCGGGTCTGATCCTCTGACCACCAAGGCCCCCTCTACCCTCTCGGGTCCTGAGGGAGTGGGAGGGAGGGAAGGGGGAGCAAAAGTAAAGGCTGGACCTCCAGGACTGGCACCCCTGAGGGGTGGCTGGGGGAAGGAAGGAGTTCCTACACACAGCGGAACCCACCCATGTTAAGGTGTCCAGTGGTGACAGGGGAGACCCTGGGGGAGACTGTGAGGGAGGGGCATGAAGGAATGGAAAGGAACGTGGCTAGTGATTTCCCTGTGTACTTAGGCAGTGGGGAGCCTGTTGGGCTCCTGGGTCTAATCCTCTGCCCTCGAAGCCTCCTTCCTGGGGCACAGAACCCAAGTCCTGCCCCTACACCCCCACCCAGGGCCTGAGCTCTACACTCAGAGACCCCTTCCAACGTGCTGGGCCTAAACCCTACCCACACAACCTCATTCAGTGCCCTACTCCCAAACTCTGGAACTACATACTCCTGAGGCTCTCCTTTGGGCGTGCTGCCTCTCCCCTTCATTAAAGTCACCAACATTCAAATTATAGGGGTCCCAGAAGAAGAAGAGGAAAAGGAAGGTTCTGAGAAAATACTTGAAGAGATTATAGTTGAAAACTTCCCTAACATGGGAAAGGAAATAGTTAATCAAGTCCAGGAAGCACAGAGAGTCCCATACAGGATAAATCCAAGGAGAAATACGCCAAGACACATATTAATCACACTGTCAAAAATTAAATACAAAGAAAACATATTAAAAACAGCAAGGGAAAAACAACAAATAACAGACAAGGGAATCCCCATAAGGTTAACAGCTGATCTTTCAGCAGAAACTCTGCAAACCAGAAGGGACTGGCAGGACATATTTAAAGTAATGAAAGTGAAAAACCTACAACCAAGATTACTCTACCCAGCAAGGATCTCATTCAGAGTCAATGGACAAATTAAAACCTTTACAGATAAGCAAAAGTTAAGAGAATTCAGCACCACCAAAACAGCTTAACAACAAATGCTAAGGAACTTCTTTAGGCAGGAAACATAAGAGAAGGAAAAGACAAATAAAAACAAAACCAAAACAATTAAGAAAATGGTAATAGGAACATACATATAGATAATTACCTTAAAAGTAAATGTAATAATGCTCCAACCAAAAGACATAGACTGGCTGAATGGATACAAAAACAAGACCTGTACATATGCTGTCTACAGAGACCCACTTCAGACATAGGGACACATACAGACTGAAAGCGAGAGGATGGAAAAAGATATTCCATGCAAACGGAAATCAAAAGAAAGCTGGAGTAGCAATTCTCATATCAGACAAAATAGACTTTAAAATAAAGACTATTACAAGAGACAAAGCAGGACACTACATAATGATCAAGGGATCAATCCAAGAAGAAGATATAACAATTGTAAATACTTATGCATCCAACATAGGAGCACCTCAATACATATAGTGAATGCTAACCGCCATAAAAGGAGAAATCGACAGTAACACAATCATAGTAGGGGACTTTAACACCCCAATTTTACCAATGGAAGGATCATCCAAAATGAAAATAAATAAGGGAACGCAAGCTTTAAATGACACAATAGACCAGATAGATCTAATTGATATTTATAGAACATTCCACCCAAAAGTGGCAGAATACACACTTCTCAAGTGCTCATGGAACATTCTCCAGGATAGACCGTATCTTGGATCACAAATCAAGCCTTGGTAAATTTAAGAAAATTGAAATCGTATCAAATATCTTTTCCAACAACAATGCTATGAGACTATGTATCAATTACAGGAAAAAATCTGTAAAAAATAGAAACACATGGAGGCTAAACAATACACTACTTAATAACCTAGAGATCACTGAAGAAATTAAAGAGGAAATCAAAAGATACCTAGAAACAAATGAAAATGAAAACACAACGACCCAAAACCTATGGGATGCAGCAAAAGCAGTTCTAAGATGGAAGTTTATAGCAATACAATCTTACCTCAAGAAACAAGAAAAATCTCAAATAAACAACCTAGCCTTACACCTAAAACAATTAGAGAAAGAAGAACAAAAACCCCCAAAGTTAGCAGAGGGAAAGAAATCATAAAGATCAGATCAGAAATAAATGAAAAAGAAATGAAGGAAACAAGAGCAAAGATCAATAAACTGAAAGCTGGTTCCTTGAGAAGATAAACAAAATTAATAAACCATTAGCCAGACTAATCAAGAAAAAAAGGAAGAAGACTCAAATCAACAGAATTAACAATGAAAAAGGAGAAGTAATAACTGACGCTGCAGAAATACAAAGGATCACGAGAGATTACTACAAGCAACTCTCTGCCAATAAAATGGACAACCTGGAAGAAATGGACAAATTCTAAGAAAAGCACAACCTTCCAAGACTGAACCAGGAAGAAATAGAAAATATAAACAGACCAATCACAAGCACTGGAATTGAAACTGGGATTAAAAATCTTCCAACAAACAAAAGCTCAGGACCAGATGGCTTCATAGGCAAATTCTCTCAAACATTTAGAGAGGAGCCGTCACCTATCCTTCTCAAACTCATCAAAAATATAGCAGAGGGAGGAACACTCCCAAACTCATTCTACGAGGCCACCGTCACCCTGATACCAAAAACAGACAAAGATGTCACAAAAAAAGAAAACTACACGCCAGTATCTCTGATGAACATAGATGCAAAAATCCTCAGCAAAGTACTAGGAAACAGAATCCAACAGCTCATGAAAAGGATCATACACCATGATCAAGTGGGGTTTATCCCAGGAATGCAAGGATTCTTCAATATACACAAATCAATCAATGTGATACACCATATTAACAAATTGAAGGATAAAGCCATATGATAATCTCAATAGATGCAGAAAAAGCTTCTGACAAAATTCATCACCCATTTATGATAGAAAACTCTCCAGAAAATAGGCATAGAGGGAACCTACCTCAACATAATAAAGGCCATATATGACAAATCCACAGCCAACATTGTTCTCAATGGTGCAAAACTGAAACCATTTCCACTAAGATCAGGAAGAAAACGAGGGTGCCCACTCTCACCACTCTTATTCAACATAGTTTTGGAAATTTTAGCCACAGCAATGAGAGACAAAAAAGAAATAAAAGGAATCCAAATCAGAAAAGAAGAAGTAAAACTGTCACTGTTTGCAGATGACATGATACTATATGCAGAGAATCCTAAAGCTACTACCAGAAAACTGCTAGAGCTCATCAATGAATTTGGTAAAGTAGAAGGATACAAAATTAATGCACAGAAATCTCTTGCATTCTTATACACTAATGAGGAAAAATCTGAAAGAGAAATTAAGGAAACACTCCCATTTACCATTGCAACAAAAAGAATAAAATACCTAGGAATAAACCTACCTAAGGAGACAAAAGACCTGTATGCAGAGAACTATAAGACACTGATGAAAGAAGTTAAAGATGATACAAACAGATGGAGAGATATACCATGTTCTTGGATTGGAAGAATCAACATTGTGAAAATGACTCTACTACCGAAAGTAATCTACAGATTCAGTGCAATCCCTATCAAACTACCAATGGCATTTTTCACAGAACTAGAACAAAAAATTTCACAATTTGTATGGAAACACAAAAGACCCCGAATAGCCAAAGCAATTTTGAGAAAGGGAAACGGAGCTGGAGGAATCAGGCTCCCTGACTTCAGACTATACTACAAATCTACAGTAATCAAGACAGTATGGTACTGGCACAAAAACAGAAATATAGAACAATGGAACAGGATGGAAAGCCAGGAGATAAACCCACGCACATATGGTCACCTTATTTTTGATAAAGGAGGCAAGAATATAGAATGGAGAAAAGACAGCTTCTTCAAGAAGTGGTGCTGGGGAAACTGGACAGCTACATGTAAAAGAATGAAATTAGAACACTCCCTAACACCATGCACAAAAATAAACTGAAAATGGATTAAGACCTAAATGTAAGGCCAGACACTATAAAACTCTTAGAGGAAAACATAGGCAGAACACTCTATGACATTAATCACAGCAAGATCCTTTTTGACTCACCTCCTAGAGAAATGGAAATAAAAATAAACAAATGGGACCTAATGAAACTTCAAAGCTTTTGCACAGCAAAGGAAACCATAAACAAGATGAAAAGACAACTCTCAGAATCGGAGAAAATATTTGCAGATGAAGCAACTGACAAAGGATTAATCTCCAGAATTTATAAGCAGCTCATGCAGCTCAATATCACAAAAACAAACAACCCAATGCAAAAATGGGCAGAAGACCTACATAGACATTTCTCCAAAGAAGATATACAGATTGCCAACAAACACATGAAAGAATGCTCAACAACACTAATCGTTAGAGAAATGCAAATCAAAAGTACAATGAGGGGGCTTCCCTGGTGGCGCAGTGGTTGGGGGTCCGCCTGCCGATGCAGGGGACACGGGTTCGTGCCCTGGTTTGGGGGGATCCCACATGCCACGGAGTACCTGGGCCCATGAGCCATGGCCACTGAGCCTGCGTGTCCGGAGCCTGTGCTCTGCAACGGGAGGGGCCACAGCAGTGGGAGGCCCGTGTACCGCAAAAAGAAAAGTACAATGAGGTATCACCTCACACTGGACATAATGACCATCATCAAAAAATCTACAAACAATAAATGCTGGAGAGGGTGTGGAGAAAAGGGAACCCTCTTGCACTGTTGGTGGGAAAGTAAATTGATCCAGCCACTATGGAGAACAATATGAGGTTCCTTAAAAGACTACAAATAGAACTACCATATGACACAGCAATCCCACTACTGGTCATATACCCTGAGAAAACCATAATTTAAAAAGAGTCATGTGCCTTTGGTCCAAGGTCCTGGAGAGGATGGGTACGTGTTTGATGAGGTAGCTGTCGAGCTGGTCCTGGTGCAGTGGGAATGGCAGAGCCACATGCAGAGACGAGTCAAAGAAGGCTATAGAGACAGAATAGATGCTGGCAAAGCAGTTACTCTTCAACAAGGTTTCAATCAAGGTTATAAGGAAGGTGCAGAAGTCATTATAAACTATGGACAACTCAGAGGAACATTGAGTGCTTTGCTCTCCTGGTGTCACCTTCATGATAATAGTCCGGCTTTGATCAGTAAAATAAATAATCTTCTGGATGCAGGTGGCTGGTGTGAAGACTACGTGTTCATACATCTGAAGTCAATCACTCCACAGTCCCACGTTGTAGATTTACTGGACTCCATTCAGGATATGGACCTTTGTCATATAGCTCCAGTTGAGGAAAAGATTGATGAAGCTAAAGATGAAAGATTCTATGAAAATAATGCTGAGTTTAACAAAAACTGTAGCAAGAATCTTAGTGGGGTAGATTGTTCGTCTTTAGAATGTTGTAGAACACAGGAGCATGCACATTCCGAAAACCCAAGCCTCACTTGGATTTTAGAACAGACAGCCAGTTTGGTGAAACAGCTGGGAGTATCAATAGACATATTACAGCACCTCAAACAACTATAAAAATTATCTTCACTTTAATAATGAAAATAATATTCAGAACATTCTTAGAACATTTTGTTTCTGAACAAGCTAACCAAAATTTGTACTGGTTTCTACATTGAACACTTCACTTGTAAGGTTATCCTTCATGGAAGTTTGAAATGTCTTCAAAATTAACACTATTTAATATAAGCCTATTTTCTTTGTCACTGGTAATTTTTATGCGGTTTCAGATATGTTTGGAAATTCCATTTGTCATCATTTTCAAATTTCTGATCGAAATCAAGCATTTTTGGACTCATTTTTAGCAGAAATGAACAAGAATCAGACTACAGTTAACCCTTGAACAACACAGGTTTTAGGGGTACCCACCCACCATGCAGTCAAAAATCCACATATTACTTAGAGCTGACCCTCCATACCTGCAGTTGCGAGTCTCAGATTCAACCAACCTCAGGTCGTACTGTACTGTATAGTATTTACTACTGAAAAAAAATCCAAGTATAAGTGGACCCTCAGAATTCAAACCCATGTGGTTCAAGCATCAAATGTTATTTTGTAAGGACTTAGCTCTACCTTCTGCTCTTATCACATTGTCTTGTGATTAGGACCTCATCAACTAATCAGACCAAAGTTACAAAAAATTACCTAATGGCTAAAGTTGTAAATAGACACACATAGATATATATAGATATGTAGACATGTATATATATATATATATATATATATATGTGTATATATTGAAATTAAGAGGCTAATAAGTGTAAAGCTGAAAAAATGTTTACATTGATAATTAAAACAAAATACTAAAGCTTGTTTTAGTTTTTTTATTGAGGTATAATTGATTTATAATGTTTCAGGTATACAGCAAAGTGATTCAGTTATACATTGTTTTTTCAGATTTTTTTCCATTATAGGTTATTAAAAAATATTGAATATAGTTCCCTGTGCTATATAGTAGGTCCTTTTTGTTTATTTTATATATAGTAATGTGTCTATGTTAATCCCAGACTTCTAATTTATCCCCACCTCCTTTCCCTTTTGGTAACCATAAGTTTGTTTTCTATGTCTGTGAGTCTATTTCTGTTTTGTAGATAAGTTCATTTGAATCATTTTTTTAGATTCCACATATAAGTGGTATCATACCATATTTGTTAAAGTTTGTTTCAGTTTTGCGTTTATTAAAAGTAAGGACACAATTCTGTGAAAAATACTGAAAATACATTTCATGCTAAATTAAAAAAAAAAAAGTCATGTACCACAATGTTCACTGCAGCACTATTTACAATAGCCAGGACATGGAAGCATCCTAAGTGTCCATCGACAGATGAATGGATAAAGAAGATGTGGCACATATATACAATGGAATATTACTCAGCCATAAAAAGAAACGAAATTGAGTTATTTGTAGTGAGATGGATGGACCTAGAGACTGTCATACAGAGTGAAGTAAGTCAGAAAGAGAAAAACAAATACCGTAAGCTAACACATATATATGGAATCTAAAAAAAGAAAATGGTTCTGATAAACCTAGGGGCAGGACAAGAATAAAAACAGAGATGTAGAGAATGGACTTGAGGACATGGGGAGACAAAAGGGTAAGCTGGGACGAAGTGAGAGAGTGGCATTGACATATACACACTACCAAATGTGAAATAAATAGCTAGTGGGAATCAGCTGCACAGCACAGGGATATCAGCTCGGTGCTTTGTGACCACCTAGAGGGGTGGGATAGGGAGGGTGGGAGGGAGACGCAAGAGGGAGGGGATATGGGGATATACATATGCATATAGCTGATTCACTTTGTTATATAGCAGAAATTAACACAACATTGTAAAGCAATTATACTGCAATAAAGATGTTAAAAATAAAACCAAAGAAACACAAAGCTTTATTAGTTTTGAAAAAAATAGCTTATTACTTATATATGTTCACAACCACATTGTCAATGTGTATTCTCCATTCAGTAGACAACTTTCTTCTTTTTGGCCATTATTTGGCTAAGTCTCTAATCACAACATTTCTTGATGTGTTTGGGGTTCAGTGAGCACTGTTCCCATTTCCAGAGCCTAAATTTACTTCACATTGACAACCACATTGTCAATGTGTATTCTCCATTCAGTAGACAACTTTCTTCTTTTTGGCCATTATTTGGCTAAGTCTCTAATCACAACAACATTTCTTGATGTGTTTGGGGTTCAGTGAGCACTGTTCCCATTTCCAGAGCCTAAATTTACAGGTGAAGATACTTAGTGTAATTGAACTCAGGTTGGGCTGCTGGCCACTCAACAACAAATAAATCGAGGGGCAAGCTTTGGTAGAGAAGAAAGATGCTTTATTCAGAAAAGCTGGCAATCTGGGGAGAGGGTGGACGGACTTTCATCCAGAGACCAACTCCCAAGATTTTGCTCAGCCAGGACAATTTTTAAAGAAAAAAAGGGGAAACAATCTCAGTTAACCATTAAGGCAGGAGGTCATTGCGTGCAGGACTGCTGACTTCTCCCCATCTTCCTTGGGATGCTGTCTTGCTCATGTGGTCCACCTTTAGTTGGATGTTCTCTTGGCCCTGTGGTTTGCCGGCACCCACAGGGTCTGCCTGCAAATTTTCCTAGGGGAAGCTAGAGGTAGAGAGTCAGTCATTCTTTACTTAATTCTTCATTCTTATTCCTGCTTATCCAGGAAAGGAATCAACACGAAAGGCAAGGTATTACGTATATTTAGAAAAGCAGAAATCAGGAGCTAAGTTAAATGTTGCCTAATGATCTCACCTTTATGATTAAGGTCTAAGGAAAACAAGGATGAACAAACAGAAAAATCTGTGTGAATACATGAAAGGCGGCAGGTCCCAGGTATGTTTTCATTGAACATTTTACTTTAAATGGGGTATGGTTTTGCCTTTGAAGGAACATCAGCTACGGTTACTAGTTGGGGCTGGAGCATTTTTGTGGTGTTCTGCACACAAGTTCTGATCTACGGAAGAAAGCTGGCTGCATAGATAGCACAAAGAATGCTCACTTGCTTGAATTACAATTATGCAAAATAAGGGTGCTGACCCTTTGCACACAGCACAAGAGAGTAAAGTGCACCAGAGGAGGAAAGGGTCAAGTTTCATAATTGGCTGTAAAGCATCTTTACAGCCATTTCCTCAGGCTCTGTTTTCACAGTGGAGAAAATAGCTTCTTAAATGACTAACACAGTCACAGCTATGTTCTTTGTCTTCAAAAGAGCATGAGGTATTTTGTTGAATATGTGTGGAAACATGTTTCTGTGTGCATTTAAAACCAAACATTCACAAAAGCATAGAAGATGCTTTGTTTTCTTGCACTTAGCCCCTTGCATGCCACCTATTTCTAGGTAAAATAACAGAAGTGGGATCATCATGGTACATATATATGGGTGTGCACAGTATCTTAGATAAGGTGTCGCATATGTTACACAGATAAAAGCGAGTTATGGGTAAAAATGACAACCCCCCCTCCACCCCATAGTTTTTGAGTTTGCCTGCTAATTCTAAGAGCAGAGAATGAGAAAAGTTCAAAAAGACAAAATCAATTTATATGTGGAGAACAGGGAAGGATTAGACAAGGAAAGAAAATAGGTGGTTCATGAGAGACGAAAGCCCAGACTGAGTTCTTTGGAAATTTGGGGGTAGTTTTGAGAGACGGGGGAGACGTGAGAAGTTTGGCCACACTCTGCTGTGGAGGGCACTGGAGAGTCAGGAGATGAAGATGTTTAGGATGTTTTTTTCTGGCTTCTGTGATCCATTTCCCACTTTGAACTTTGCTAAGAGGTTGCAGGGAAGATTTATTTATTTATTTTTCAATATGAATTGATAATTCGTATTGTCATTTTTTCCTGGGTAACTGTGATTCTGTACTGAGATGGACCACAAGGCAATGCAGCTTTTCTAAAAGGCACCCATCTTCTCCCAGAGCCTCGGAAGATCGTGGCTTGCTGTCACCTTGACCTTTTTCAGTGAGACCCATTCAGACTTCGGAGCTCTGGGACTGTAAGATAATACATTTGTATTTTAAGCCACAGAGTTTGTGGTAATTTATTACAGCAGCAATAAAAAACGAATACAGTGGATGTTCACTATCTCTCTGGAGAATGATTTGCTGTTGGTTGAATGTGTAACCATGGCTAGTAAGGTCGTATCCCCAGAGCTATACCGGGCTTGGCATGTAGAAACTGACCAGCAGGATCGACAAGGCTTTGTCGAATGAGTGAATGAATGAATGATGATGACGTTTATATGCTTTTGACTTTATTGCTTCTTTGATGTAGGCAATGGCTGGAATCAAAATACTGGAGTTCTCAGCCATGTAGGTAATGCTTGGGGTGTCCCTGGTCAGGTCTACACATGTATTTTGACCATCACCATCCAGCCTCTGGACACCAGGAAGTGGCAATCTTCTGTGTTCCCTTTCTTTCCTAAGATTTAACAATCATACCTTGTTACTCGGTCAGGGTCATATACTTAGATTTCACCTCTGACTAAATTCTCAAGTTTAGATTTTAAGCACGCAGGGGTCTGTGGGGCATAAAAATAAGTAAAATGAATAAAAATAAAAATTTCGGGGTTCCCTGGTGGCGCGGTGGTTGAGGGTCCGCCTGCTGATGCAGGGGACGCGGGTTTGTGCCCTGGTCTGGGAGGATCCCACATGCCGTGGAGCGGCTGGGCCCGTGAGCCATAGCCGCTGAGCCTGCGCGTCCGGAGCCTGTGCTCCGCAACGGGAGAGGCCACAGCAGTGAGAGGCCCGCGTATGGCAAAAATAAAAAATAAAAAATAATAAATAATAAAAATTTCATAAAATTGTTAGTATTAATTAAATAAATGCTATTTTTTCTTTAGCCAATCAATTTCTAATGGAAATGTAATACATGTTTTTAAACGTAAAGAATTATCCTTAGGCTACCAATTTTTCTTTATTTCCACAGAAAATAGAAATAGTGAACTTAGAGCCAAATTGCAGGAGTTATGTTCAATTCAGCTCAATTTATTACATATTTAATGGGCACCGATTGTTTTCAGGGCTTGAGCTCAGAGAAGGATGAAGGGCACCTGTCCTTGCCCAGGAGCACATCAGGCTAGTGCCAGATTTAGACACACTGGGTCTTCTAAAAAGTCTGCTTTCTGTGGACATTGACCACACGTCAGCCTAGGGCAGCCCTGCTCGGTCAAAATTCAGAATA